CTGGTCTACATAATGAGACCTTGTATTAAAAAAAAAAAAGGACATTGATTAAATATAGGGTGTCCTTCAGGATAATATTGGCTTTTTAAAAAATGTTTATTTTTATTTTATGCACTTTGGTGTTTGGTATACATGGATGTCTTCATGAGTGGGTTGGAGTCCCTGGAACTGGAGTTACAGACAGTTGTGAGCTGCCATGTGGGTGCTGGGAATTGAACCCCAGGTCCTCTGGAAAAACAACCAGTGCTCTTAATCACTGAGCCATCTCTCCAGCCCCCAGGATAATATTGTGCAGCAATTAAGATAATTTAGCAGAAGATTGTATAAATGCTTGGAAGTATTAATTTTAAAAGTAGTTATAAATGAGATACACAATATCATTTCACTTTTACAAGATGTGATAAAGACGTATGTGCATATACAAAGTCTGATGAGACCATAGGTTCTAAAGACATCTTTTAGGGCTTCCGAGACGGCTTAGCAGGTGTAAGGCTCTTGCCACATAGCCTAAGTTCGATCCCTGAGACCCACATAAAAGTGGAAGGAGAGAACCGATTCCCAGGCCATCCTCTGCCCGCCGCATGCACACAGACACAATAATGATAAAAAAATTAACAGTATTTTTCCAAGCTTGCAAGTGCATGTTCTTTTTAATATAATAAAGGAGATATATTAGAACGCTTTAGACCCGGAGGCGCTTTCCACCGGAAGATCACTTTCTGGGGACTTGCGTGCCTGGCTCTGCTCTCCGGTAGTGGGAGGCTGTGAAAGGGTGGTTCTCCCACATCCCAGGCCCGTGGGTCGCTCCCAGGGTTTCATTATTGTTGATAATGTTAGGATTATGATCTTTATATTGAAGGCCCCTTTCTTCATATTCTCAATTATTTTCTCTGCAGTTCCCCAGAAGTGATATCACTGCGTCAGTAGGTATGAATATTTTTTTGTCACTCACAATATGTGCTTCCAAATTGCTTCTCAGTGGGGCTGTACCAAAACATGCTACCAGAAAGATCTTGCCAGCACCGGGGTTTAGGATTGTATTTAGTGTGTGCTAATTGTACAGGCACGGAACGGCACCTCATTATTTTGCTTCGGATTTCCAGCCAGGCGGAACAGTCCCCTGTTTCTATCGATTGCTTATTTGCTGCGTTTCCACTCGTGGGTCTCGTGCCCATCTATTGACATTTTCATCTTTTCTTTTTGTCTCGTACAGGCTCTGTTAAAAAATAGTGGTCTTTTTTGAGTGTGTTGTCCTATTGTGCTGAGGGCGTCTTCCCTGCCTCTTGTTTCCCTTCTGAGTTAGGGGTTGTGGTTGTTGCTGTTGTTTGGTTTTGTTGTTGGTTTTTATGTCTTCATTCTAAGGCTTTATATAGTCACCCCTGCCACGTCTGTGATTTTCTTTCATGGCCTCCAAGTTTAGAAAATTACTCTTCTGTCCCTCAAGCAGCACTCTGATAAATGTACCCGGCCTGACTTTCTTAAGGTTGGTCTTTGTCATAGCTGCCTCCTAACTCACTGGGGCCCTCAGCTACCTTCATCACAGGCGAATAAGCTCCCCCGGGATTTGCTGATCCCCTCCTCCCAGAAGCTCATTTTTGTTCAGGCAATAGGGCCCAGTTCTCAAGGCTCACTCTCTCTTCCCTGTATCAACTGAGATAGGATGTCATACTATAGTCCAGGCTGGCTTAGATCTCATTGTGTAGCCAAGGCTGGCTGGCTGTAAACTCTGGGTAATCCTCCTGCCTCAGCTTCTCAAGTGTTGAGATTATAGGCATGAAACACCATGCTCAGTTTATAGTATATTTTAAGTGAGCATTTCTTTAAAATGTATCTGATAGGGGTTCTTTTGTTTATAAATAGTACTTTTAAGATTTATTCATTTTTATTTATTTCTTATAATAATTTTTATTTAACTTTTTATACCTGCTTCTCCCAGTTCCCTCTCCCTCCCCCTCCCCCAGCCCCCCAGTCCCCCAACCCCCAACCCTACTCCATCCCCCCTCTGCTTCCCAGGGAGGGTAAGGCCTTCCATAAGGGATTTTCAGAGTCTGTCATATCATCCCAGGCAAGGCCTAGGTCCTCCCCCATTTGTCCAGACTGAGAGAGCATCCCTCCATGTGGAATGGGCTCCCAGAGTCCATTTGTATGCCAGGAATAAATACTGATCTACTCTCCAAGGTCCCATAGATTGCTGAGGCCTCCTCTCTGACACCCAGATTCAGGGGGTGAGTGTTTGGATCGGTCCCATGCTGGCCTCTCAGTCATCAGTCTTGGGTCCATGTGTTCCCCCTTGTTTAAGTCAGCTGCCTCTGTAGGTTTTGACAGCGGGGTCTTGATTCCTTTGCTCATCACTCCTCTTTGCAACTGAGTTCCAGGAGTTCAGTTCACTGTTTAGCTGTGGGTGACTGCCTCTGCTTCCATCAGCCACTGGATGAGTGTTCTAGGATGGCATATAAGGTAGTCATCAATCTCATTATCAGGGGTATTCATTTTTACTTTATGTGTTTTGCACATCTGCATGCAGTACCTGGAGAGGCCAGGAGAGGGCATCGGAACCCGCCAAAACTGACACTAGAAATGATTGTGAGCTGCCATGCGGGTGCTGAAACCAAACCCCTGCCCTCTGCAAACTCACCAAGAGCTCTCAACAGCTAAGCCATCTCTCTAGCCCCATCCTCCTCTTTTATTAGTTTAAAACTTTTTTGTCCTCTGAAAATTCCTTTTTAGTTTGTGTCTGAATATAAGTAAAATACTTTACAAACTTGAAGCTCATTTGTGGAGAGGGACCAAGGAAGACTTGTTTCTTTTCTCAGTAGACAGGAGCTCATCCATTCAGGAATAAACACACATGTGTCTGGGACAGGATGGGGGGAGGGGGTAGCAGTTTACCAGAAGAGAAAGCAGGGACCCTCCTCATCAGGAGTTCCCCCAAAGAGGGCATTTTCCATCCCTCATTTCCAATGAGTCTTGTGCGTTTTAAGCAGCAGATAAAGTGATTTTCTTTTGACAGCTCTGGAGTGGTCCGTCTGAATCCCCTGTGTCTGTAGCTGGTTGATAGGTCTGCAGGGGGCGCATGCTGGACCAGGAAGAATGTGCTTTCCTGCTTACCCCTGTTGGGGCGGGGCTCTGGGCTTGCCCTGCTGTCTGACAGGGCTCCCAGTGCTGCTCAGAGAAGGGAGCTTGGGCTCACCCCAAATGAGCACTCGGAAAAAACCCCAAAGGTGTCAGGGTCTAGCAGCCGGCTGGCTTTTCTTGTTCCTCGGTGTTGTCATTGTGCCCTCCCCTGATTTATAACACCAGCACCATCTATCAAGCCATTCTCTGCACTGACAACAAACTGCTGTGTGAACTCAGTCCCCTTGCTAGTCAGTGACTGTGAGGGTTTTTATGTAGCACGAATAGTAATAATAATAATCATAATAAAAAGCTCAGAGACAGAAATGGGGCTGAAGACCAGAAAAGCAACCCAGCTGCTTTGCTTTTCTGTTCCTTTCTAGTGCTGGGATTCAAGGCGAACACCACCACTGCCCGGCCTCTATGACTGTGGCTAATTTTGCACCCTGATCTTCAGGCAAGCTTTATTAGGCCATAAACTATATATCACCACATTTTTTTAAAAAAAAAGATCCTTTAAATTGTGTGTATGTGCTCATCTGAGGGTGGTTTGTGCACTGAGTAGAGTCACAGAGACCCCAGAAGAGTGCATTGGGTTCCCTAGAGCTGGAGCTACAGGGGGTTGTGGGCCACCTGACATCTGTGCTGGGAACCAAACCCAGGTCCTAAGAGCAGTGTTCTCTTAACTGCTGAGCCATCTCCACAGTCCTGACTTTGGGATTTTTTTTAATTATGGAGATATTAAAACATTTTTTAAAAATAGTGGACATAGACTAATAAATACTGTGTACATCACACAGATTTCAGTTTTTATTGTATTGGTTCCTTTTCTTGGTGCTATGATAAAAGCAACATAAACAAGGGTTTTGGCTCATCCTTTAAGGGTAGGGTCCATCAGAGTAAGGAAGACAGGAAGTTCCTGTCTGGCCCCATTGCATCCATAGACAGGAAGTGGCTGGCTGGTCCTGTTGAGTCTGTAGACAGAAAGCAGAAAGATGAATAACAGTGTTCTGCACCCACCCTGTCTGTGTAGTCTCATATCCTATAGGATGGGATCTACATTCAGGGTATAGGATGGGATCTACATTCAGCCTATAGGATGGGATCTACATTCAGGGCATATCTTCCCACCTCAGTTAAACCTCTTTGGAAACATGCTCATGGCATACAAAGAAGTTGTGTCTCCTAGGTGGTTACATATCGACTCAAGCCAGCAGTGAAGATTAACCATCACATTAGCCTTTTGTCACATTTTATCCTTCTTGCTGAAGCATTTGAAAGCAAATTATGTGATAATTAGACATCTAATCATAGACTGTGTATTGCATTTTTCTATTTTGTACCTCACACTACCCCCCAGTGTTTTAAGTTTGTTTTGCAGTTGCTGCCGCTTGTTGGGGTCTAATTGTTTATATCAGGCTGCCTTGGGCCTCTTTATGTGGCATAAGTTGACTTTAAACTTTTAATTCTGTCACCTTGGCCTCCCAAATTCTGGGGTTACAGATATGCACCACCAAACCCAGCCTCGCTTTCCCTTCGCATGGAGTTTGGATTTTCCTGTGGGTTCCATCCGTGAGAGAGAGCTATATTTCTGTGTCACCTTTGCATTAGGTACTGTTAACCAAAGGGTTTCAGATTTGTGCTTCCTCTTAGTTACTGCAAATAGCTAGAGCATCAGTAACTTTGAAGCTGCTTCCAGTCTGACCTTGGCCAGTAGTGTTTGTTGGAAAAAGGGATTTCTTATCTTTGTTTTCTTTTAAAGACAGATGAAGATTTTCTGCCATTTGTGCAGAATTTATGGGCTTAAAATGGATACAGAATAATAAAGGTGACTACAGCATATGGCCAGGAGTAAGATTAAAGTAATAACTGTTCTGCATGTTCAGTTTGCAGAGAAATTCCAGGAGGTAAAGGAAGCTGCCAGACTAGCCAGAGACAAGTCCCAGGAGAAAACCGAGACCTCAAGTAATCATTCCCAAGTAAGTAATTTGTCCCTGAAATAAACGTGTGTGATCAGTAATTGTGATTCCTTATTCCTTGTCACTCTTGGCAAGAAATAGGTAATTTTAGCAGCAGGGCATTCCAAAGGCATTTTTTTCAACTATTAGTCTGCTCTCGGTGAGATGAAGTGACATGTTTTTATGAGACTTTGGAATTTCTCAGATGTAGCACTGTATTCTTGGCAGAAAACTGTTGATACAATCAATAGTCCCCAGGCTATGAAGAGGTTGTGCAGTGACTGTGTTTAAAGGTCAGGGTGTAGCAGGCTTTGTGCCAGTATTGCCAGAGAGGGTGGGGCTTGGTTAGTGCCCAGTGTCTATATTAGGCCCATCATGCTAGGTTGGGGGCAGTGCTGTGCTTTCTTGGAGTCTAGCAACCGTGAGGATGGTGTACCTGGTGGGTAGTGTTTGCTGACTGTTGGGAAGTCCATTGGTAGGATGCTCTTCCCTGCCGCAGGTACCTCCTGCTCACTAGGGGGATGCTTAACAGACAGGTGGGAGGTGCTATTCCTCTAGCTCTAAGTCCAAAGAGACCCGGCTTTGCCAGGATTTGTGTAGTCTGTCCGCTTAAAAGTGTGCTAATAATGGCTGTAAAGGACCCATTTAACCTGAGATCTAAAAAACGCTACCTGGTGTCTTTGTTTGTGAGAGAAGGCTTGACCATCTTATGGGTAGGGACAGGGAAAGGGAGTCTCCAGGAGCAGACATGGAATTTGGAATAAGCAAGACAGTTGAGCCAGACAACCTGGGTATCTTACCTGCCTTCACCCTTCTGCTTCGGGTATGGAGATAAAGTCTGGAGATGCCTCGAGAGCGGGAATGCCTGTTATTTGTCATCCCCTTGGTTAACTAGGTGGTCAGTAGACATCGGAGTTGCTGTATGACTCCTGATGGGAGTTGACATGAGGATGGTGTAAGAGCGTACTGCAGGATGTGTCTCAAGAGGCTGCTAGAACGGCTTGGCCTGGGTAGCTACAGTGCAAAAGAGAAAGGGCTGGCTGGAGGAGACAGCTCCAAGAAAGAACCAGAAGGCCAGGACCTGAAATAGTCATGTTCAACACTGACCATAAGCCAAAGAGAATAGCCAAAGCCTAGGAAGTAAGGAAAAGAGGTCGAGCGAGAGCCGTGTCCAGGAGAACCCTCACAATCACTCGGGGTGAGAGGCTGCCGGAGTCCTGGCTCTGCCTGCAGACTCGGTGGCTGGGATGATCCACACAGACAGGTCCTGGGCTCACCATAGAAAAGACACTCCAGGTGAGTTATGGGACTGAATATTTGCCAGGCTTCAGGTGGGCAGGAACTTCTCGGGACCTTTCTAAAAAGTCCTTAATCCAAGTGACAGCTTGATTTAGTGACGTTATTACTGAGTAGTCACCTAGGGTAAGTTCTTGAAATGGTAATGTGGGTAGAAACTATAGACATGTTCTCTTTGGTTTATATATATATTTAATGGTGTATACGTGTATCTGTATGTCACGTGCTGGGGTTGGCCAAGGAGACCAGTAGCATGAGGTCCACTGGAGCTGGGGTTGCAGGCTGTTGTAAATCAGGTGATACTCATGCTGGTGAGTGACCTGGGGTCCTCTAGAAGAGTAATGTGCACTCTAGACCACGGAGCCTCTCTCCAGCCCCCACGCCCCATGGGCGTACTTAAAGCTACAGAAATGGTTCCTGGAGGAGAGAGTTCTAACACACTGTCTTTTTCTGAATACCATATTTTATAGTGATGCCTTTAGATTTAAATGTCTGAATCTATCTAAAAGAGTTTGCTTTACGACTGTCTTTTTGGATAAACATACCTAATAAGATATTAAGTAGAAATGAGCTTTTGTGTCTTAAGCCTTAGTTTTTATTCATCCTCACTGATACTGCGTTGTCAGATTTTCTTTTTCTCAACAATCAGCTCCTTATTTTCCTGAGCCTTTTCCATGGATGAACACACTCACCAAGTTTTTCAAATAGTTGAAAATTGTTACACTGCTACATTACAAAAGCACAGGTTCCCTGTGTGTGAGGCTATCAGAGAAATACAACATAGCATACTATCAAGAAAGGAAGAAAGCCCACCCACTCTTTGGCGAGGCTCAGTATTAGAATTCTTGCTCAACAAGCACAAGACCCTAAGTTCAAACCCCACCATTGGAAGACAAGCATAGGCCGTGCCACTGAAAGATAGGTTGGCGGTAGTAGTGGAAAGTATGTATTTTTATTTTTATGGTACTAGTACATTTTTTTGTATTATTCCTTTTAATCTTTTAAGAAAATACTTTGTAAGTCATGATCATTTCCTCCTGGTCTTCGGTATTCACTTTCAAATCTGTTTCAATGACCAAGGAACACTCCAGTTTGTATCATGACTTATTCCCACCCCTCACTAAGAAAGTGTGCTAAATCGATAGATGAAAAGTCTATCTCCATTGTTTTTTTCCATTTCTAGAGACGTTAAATGTTTTCATGCTTATTGGTTTTATGCATTTCTTCTTTTGTCAATAGCTTTTCTGTCCTTTTTTAAAGAGTTAAGGTATTTATATATTGTTTCCTAAGGGCTTTACATATTTTAATATACTATTAAATATGCAATACAATATTTTTATTAATTCTTTGAGAATTTCATACAATGTATTTTCATTATAATCATCCCCAACTCCCCCCATGTCCACCCCCATCCAACTTTTGTCCATCCTCCCTCTCTCTCTCTCTCTCTCTCTCTCTCTCTCTCTCTCTCTCTCTCTCTCTCTCTCTCTCTCTAACCCACCAAGTCCAATTTGTGCTGCCCTTATACTTTTGGGTGTGAGACTGTCCATGGAGTATGGCTGACCTGCCAGGGACCACACCCTTAAAGAAAACTGATTCTCCTCCATTCTCTGTCAGTAGCTCCTCAGTGAGGGCTGCGGGCTCTTGCACTCCACCCTCCTTCGTCAGACAGCCACAGCTGCTGGCTTTACACACTTTCTTATATGTGTGAAAATTTGGGATGTATACTGTATAATGAACCTCCATGACCAGATGTTTCATTATGGCCCCTACTTCTGCTCCCTGTCCCATGCTTTAAAGGAAATCTGAATATATATAAAAATATTTCAGAGCCAGGTAGTGGTGGTGTATGCCTTTAATCCCAATCACAGATCTCTGTGAGTTAAGACCAGCCTGGTCTACAAGAGCTAGTTCCAGGACAGCCTCCAAAGCTACACAGGGAAACCCTGTCTCAAAAAACAAAACAAAACAAAAATTCAGTATATAACTAAAAATTGAGGACTTTTGGGCCATCAAGATGGCTCGGCAGGTAAGAGTACTTGCTATACTAGCCTGATGAACTGAAATGACATCAGTTAGGTCCAAGGGAGCTGCAGCTGAAGAGAATGGATTCGAGAAAGTTGTTCTCTGACCTCCACATACATATCTACACATGCATGCACGTGTGTGTGCACGCACACACGCATACACATAAATAAAATCTTAATTTTAATTAAAAAAATGACCCAAGGGATTTTCAACATGGAAAAGATCCTTAAATTTCACTTTTAATACCTGCCCTGCTGCATATGTTTTTCCTGGGGGCTTTGTTTGCATTTTAATTTTGTTTATGATGCCTATTTTGTAATGCAGAAATTTAAGTTAGTCAAATTTATACATTATTCTCTTCCCACTGCCTTTATTTGCCTTTGTGCCTATTGGAAGTTAAATAAGATCTAAGATCTTATTCAAGAACAGATGAGATTTTTCCTCCTGGTGGTTTGGTTTATTACAAAAAACAAAAACAAAAAACACTTCAGGATATTCATAAGAATGCTAAGCAGTATTGAAGCCAGCAAACGCTGTATCCGGTTCCTCTGTTTTTAATAAATATGTTGATCTAACGCTCCATAGCTGGGATCTGTGCGTCATCTGCTTCTGATACTGTTGCTGTACCCTGACAGATTCACTGTATCTCAGGCTCTGTTGTTTATAGCAATCCCTCTGACAATTGTAACTTCTGTCCAGGGTTTCTAAGGAGACCAATGGTCAAGTTTGGCAGGGATTGAAACAGAAAATAAGGACATGAAGTTTGAATTTAAAAGCTCCAAGTGGTGGCCCCAGGTATTATCAGTAAATGGCAGACTTTATGAACTCCGTTTGGCATGTCTGGGGCCTTTAGGCCCTGGGATTGTTTGTCTTGGTCAGCCTTTTGCTGATTAGTCTACACCGCATTCTGGCTCAGTGAGTCGGTCTGTCCAGACTCATAAACACATTTTCTCATTATGCCTGATTTGCTGCCAGGGTGAGGACAAGTAGTAACATGTGAAGATAATTCACTTTGGCCAGGAATCTGGGTGTGAAACCCCATCTTCCACTCAGGCATCCAGCGTCAACGGGACAGATGATGAGAAGGCCTCCCACGCGAGCCCAGCCGACACGCACCTCAAGTCTGAGAACGACAAACTAAAGATCGCTCTGACACAGAGGTGAGGCTGCTTCCAAACCCACACCCTCTGTCCTGTACGCTCTGCTTTTCTGGCTGGGCAGGGTCTCGGGAACGGGAAGAGAAGTCTGTCCTGCTTGGAACATCACACTTTACCTCCTGGTCGCCTGGAGGAGACCTTTGGCGCCACCATCTGTCAGGCCAACCACTGTGAGTGTGTGTGAGTGTGTTAGTGTGAGTGTGTGTGGGTGGGCGTGTCAGTGTGTGTGAGTGTGTTAGTGTGAGGTAGTGTGTGGGTGGGCGTGTCAGTGTGTGTGAGTGTGTTAGTGTGAGTGTGTGTGGGTGGGCGTGTCAGTGTGTGTGAGTGTGTTAGTGTGAGGTAGTGTGTGGGTGGGCGTGTCAGTGTGTGTGAGTGTGTTAGTGTGAGTGTGTGTGGGTGGGCGTGTCAGTGTGTGTGAGTGTGTTAGTGTGAGGTAGTGTGTGGGTGGGCGTGTCAGTGTGTGTGAGTGTGTTAGTGTGAGTGTGTGGGGGTGGGCGTGAGTCTGTGGGTTTTTTTTTGAAGAGGAACATTTATCATTTATTCATCTACGAGAAGAAAGAGTTAAACACCCAAGAGAAGTATATAAAACCCTAAGAAATGTCAGCTCTCTTTGAAGAGCCCACGCCCGCTCTCTGAAGTGTGTGCCCTGTACCCTTCTCTTAACCACCGTGCTTCAGATCCGTGTTAAAAATGCCCTTCAATGAGCTCCAATTCTGCTTTAAAAAAACTAAAGCCATGACAAATAATATGAAATCACACACAAAATCAAAAATATTCCTATGCATAAAAAAGGTAGGATAGCATTTGAAAAAGAGGTTTCCTGTATAAAGTTAACTAGACACATAAAGCACGTGGGTATAAAGTTGGTGAGAAATGTCCAGGAGGACATGAAGCAAATGGTTTTTGTTGTTGTTTTGAAATAGGATCCTAGCCTGAGTGAGCCCCGAGCTCACCCTGTAGCTGAGGGTAATCTTGAACTCCTGGTCCTCCTGCCTCAGCTTCCCCGGTGCTAGGATCATAAACACGCGTCACTTTAAAGTGATTTTTGAGGGCCACAAATGGATAATTTTGTGGAGACTGGAGAGAGATGGCCCAACAGTTAAGAATGCTTGCTCCTCTTGCAAGGAACACGAGTTCCATTGCCAAAACACACGCTGTTTGGCTCATAATTGCCGTAACTCCAGCCGCAGGGGACCCAGCTCTTCATTTGGCCTCTGAGCCCCTGCATACATGTAGCACACACACAAATAAAAACACAAATCTTTAAAAAGTGTTTATAGTTAGCATATAGTTCTACATATTTATTGCATACAGCATGGCATCAAGCGAATATATTATGTGATGATCAAATCAGAGTCAACAATCCTTCAAACACAGATGGCCTCCAGTCGTGATGTAGTGAGAAGCCGGGGTAGTTCGTGGGTATTGGGTTCTTCTAAGTGGTTCTGTACATTAAACATGATCCCCGTACGGATCAAGAAGACTTGAATTTTAAATGGCAACACAAGCTATCCTTGTGGATCTGGGTCTTCAGGACTAGCTTGGCTCCTTCAGAATTACCCTGCTCACTGGCTGAGGGCTTTGGCCAGATGCCCTCGGTCTCCTCCTTGTGGCTAAGAAGGTTGCCTACTCTCACCAGACTCCTCATGTGGGAGCCATGCCACCTTCAGGCCTGTCCTGTCTAAATCCCCCCACTGTGGAGGAAACTAGAGGCAGTTAGTAAAGTGACTCTGCCCGAGGTCACATGACTGAAGCAAGCCTTTGTGCCTCCCAGTACTGCCTGGCTTTCACTTACCTCTGCTTCCAGCCGCAGCCCCAGCTGGAGCCCCCAAAAGGGCTGCCATTCATTGCCCGGGCTCAGCATCCTGGCTGCCACTTGGAACTTAGCTCCTGTGAGCTGACCTAGAAATCGCAGAAAGCATACGAGGCTTTTAGAGCCCACCTTCTGCGTCTGGATGCTGGCTCTCTTTAGATGCTTCAAAGACAAAACCTGCCAGTCCCCTTTCTTACCTATTTTTGGTTATTTAAGGCACAGTGGGATACCCAGATGAAAATATTCCAACTCCCCAAAATAACTGTTTTCCATTCCAAGTTCAGTGAAAAGCAAGTTAGAGGAATAGCCATGAAGCCCTTCCCCTAAATCAGCTTAATTCTCTGTCGTCGCCTCTGAAATTCATCAAAGACATTCCACTGGCTTTCTTATTCAGTGTGGCATTTCAAACCAGAAGCATGCATTTCCCAATCACATCATAGATTCATGAGGCAGTATATAGAAAGATAACATTGTTCAGGTAACTGTATATACTTAAAATTTTTTCTTTTAGTCATTAGAAAATGGGCCCCCCTCAGCTGGGTAGAAATGTTCTTTGTGCGTGTGTACATGTTTCTGTGTGTGTGGGTGTGCGTGCTCTTGAATGAATTTCGCATGTGCGCGTGTTCTGTGTGGGTACATATGTGAAGGCCGGGAGACAGACACAGACACCAAATTACTGTTTGTCTGAGGAGAGCGAGGCTGAGCTGCTGTGCGAGTCTGTGTGTATGGGATGTGTGCATGCGTGTGGGTGGCACGCACCTACATTTACACACAGAAACCAGAGGGGACGTCGGCCTCTTCCCCTGTCACTTTTCACTTTTTTTTTTTTTGAGTCAAAGTTTCTTGCTGGCATCTGAAGTTTAGCATTCGACTGGTTTCTGCAGTCTGTCTCTCAAAGCTGGGATTATAGGCACACGTAGCTGTCTGTGCCCAGCTTTCACATGGGTGCTGGGGATTTAAACTCCAGTCCTCTTGCTCTCACAGCAATCACTTTTATCTAGTGAGCCACATTTTAGCTCCGTTTCTGTTGTTCTGTTTTGTTTTAGACAGGGTCTCTCTGTGGCTCTGGCTGTCCTGGAACTCACTCTGTAAACCAGGCTGGCCTCAAATTTATAGAGCTCCAGCTGTGTCTGCCTCTCCAGTGCTGGGATTAAAGGTGTGTGTCACTGTGCCTAGATCCCGTTTTGTTTTGTTTTGGCTTGGTTTGTTTTCTGTTTATTTTTATTTTGTTTTTTTTTTGAGATGGGGTCTCTCACTGCGCCTAAAGCTCCAATCATCTAGACTGTACAGCCAACAAGTCGCAGAGATCCTCCTGCCTCTGCCTCCCACCCCAGGGATTACAAACATGAGTACTGCCTCTGGCTTTTACATCCATGCTATAAATCAAACCCAGGTCCTCCTGTGGCAAGCCCCTTGCAGGTTGAGCTGTCACTCAGCTGTCAACAGAACTTTCTAGGGGTTTGTCCTGGCTGCTCCCTCACCTCAGGTCACCCTCGGTGCTGCAAGTGTCTGGACTCTAAGTCACAGAAATGAAAGGGGACAAAAGGGAGTGCTGACCGAGGGCACCTGCTTCCTGTTTCTTGGGAGGGGCTTCTCTGAGCACAGAGGTCTGTGTGCTAAGGAACAGAGCTATCCCGGGCCCACTTCAAGGCTGCTTTTTAAGGAGGTGACTGGGTAAGGTGACATGTTCACACTAGGGAGAGACTCCGGTCCCTCTTGGCACTTGGGGATGACTGACAGGCAAGAGTTTGAGCTTCCCTCGGGGTGAGCTGAGGAGAGACGGAGTTCCCATTCCCCAGCAGATGGAGGTGCGGTGTGAGGGGCACCCCTCCTAACCTCTGTGTCACCCCTACAGTGCCGCCAATGTGAAGAAGTGGGAGATTGAACTGCAGACCCTCCGGGAGAGCAATGCCCGGCTGACCACAGCCCTGCAGGAGTCGGTGGCCAGTGTGGAGCAATGGAAGAAGCAGTTCTCCATCTGCCGAGATGAGAATGACCGGCTGCGCAGCAAGGTGGGCTCCAGCAGGCGGCAGGACAGCGGGCCCGGCCAGCTGGAGTGGGCAGCAGGAGTTTTCCTCCTTAGCCTCCTCTCCCTCTGCCCTCACCCCGCGGCCAGGAGAAAGACATTTTTATCTCCTCCTTTCCCCGGTAGGAGATCATTGAATTCCTGTTGCTAAGGAAGAGATAAGCGAACCAGAGCCCCCTCTCAGGGATCCCCCCCACATTCCTCCCAGGCTGGTGTTTGCTCTGGGTGAGCTTCCTTTAGCATCTCTGTGGCTTGGGCTCTCCAGTGGAGGAAAGGGAACCTGAGGATACGTGAGAAAACTGATCGGGAATGCTGAAGGGGTCTATTTCCACAAAAACCCTGCTCCCATCCCAATCATTATTTCTAGAAATGTGAATTTGAGAGCAAAAAGAGGAGTATATGTTTGAAAAGGAGAACGGTGAGCGCCAACTGACTTACTTTCTGTGGTAACCTGTAACCACCCCTGGAGTCACTCTTACCTGTTGATCTGCGGTGTTGATGTGGTTGTCTGGGGTGGCTCAGATGGCCCTGGAGAGCTTCTCAGGTTTTAGACGGTTTAACGTGAGAGTTCACGGGGCTTTAGAGACTGCTCCGCAAGTGCAAGGTGTCAGGGACCTGACCCTTGACCGCGTGCTTCCCTTGCTGACTGTCCTGGGAGAGCCGCTGTGGGGGAGCCCCACCTCGCCACCTTCCTTGAGTGCTATTGCCCGAAGAGCCGCCTCGTGTCATTTTCATTTCAGTCCCCGTGATGAGCATGCTGACAGCCAGGGCACCGGGCCAGTTGCTGACTTCGCGTGTTCCTGTCTGAGCCCTGGCTGATCTGCCTGCCCGAGGGATCGATTGCTCCTCCTTTTCAAGCAAAGAGCTGATTCTCTTACTCTATCTGAGTGCAATAGCCAAGGGCAGCACTGAGGCATGGGGTGATGTCACCTGGAGCCCGGGAGGGCACGGGCCTCCCTGGGACGAGCTCTCTGAGTGCTTGGTTCCCAGGCTGCAGATAGGAGTTGGGATCATCAGTGTCAGTGGGGCAAAGGGTACAGGTCTGGAGGGTCGGTGCAGCCACCACTGAGAAGAGGCCTCATGTCACAGACTGGCATTGTCCGAGTGTGGTGACGCAGCGTGTCTGCTTTGGGTTGTATTATTGGCTCCATCCCTCATCCACTCTGCTCACACATTTTGGTTTCCAAGAAATGCTGAGCAACTGATGACAGAGTCAGTATATGAGGGCTCTGTACTCCCACTCTGCCTGGCTAGCCCTTTTGCAGGGTCAGGCCCAGGAAAAGATGCAACCCTGGGGTTTACTACTCAGTCTTGAAGACAATACCCCTGTCCACTGCTCCCCAGCCAGGACCCTTCTATGTGTATCAGCGGGTGGGGTCATCTTGATACGTAGTGGTTGAGACGTCTTCAATTTCCTGTCCAGTAGCATTGCTAAATCCTACTCAGCCATCTTAAACCCTTGTGATAAAACCGAGGAATTCAGAACAAGATTAAAATGATGTCAAAGCCATTCTTGGGGAAAGCAGATCAATTCCGGGGACACCTGGCCTGTGACAGATACAATCCTGAATCTACTCCCATGTGGCCATAGGAGAAATCCAGAATCCCAGCACATAGGCCGGGTTTCATGACTTACTGGTCCCACTGGGCTTAAGTGACAGATCTCAGGCGAGCTGGGGCAGACAGCACAGGGGAGCTGCTGTTTGTGGGCCATATAGAAGTGGGGTAGTTTATGGCTCGTTTGAAATGAAAGCGTAAGAGAAGTTGTAGCAAGCTCGTGTTTAATGACTAAGCTGGCGTCCTCACCTGAATTGTCGTGTTCTCTAAGATTGAGCAGCTGGAAGAGCAGTGCAGCGAGATAAACAGGGAGAAGGAGAAGAACACTCAGCTCCAGAGCAGGATTGAGGAGCTGGAGTCAGAGCTCCGAGAAAAGGAGACGGTGAGTGGAGAGCTCCGAGCGGGGCCGGGGGACCCTGGCCTTGCATGGTGACCTCTGTGATCTCTGCATCGTGGTTTAGCGTCTCCAGAGCCAAAGCCTCACGCTCCCCTTTCAGTATTGTATCTATGACACTCTAGAGTGAATTGAGGGTGGCGGATGTAACTCAGAAGGTAGAGTGCTTGCCTAGCATTCACGAAGCCTTGGGGTTTGATCCCCAGTACCATGGAAACCCACTATGGTGGCACCCCTGTGATCCCAGAGTCCCGGTCTAGCAGCAGGAGGATCAGGAGTTCAAAGGCCATCTTCATCAAGGCCAGCCTGGCACACATAAGATGTTATCTGGGAAGGAAAAAAGGGGTGAGGGTGGAGATTTACCAAAATCCCTGGACGTTCTGAAAGGTCACCCTCCAGCAGAAGAGGCGCTCTTTTGTCAGGCACTCATGCAACCGGAATTTCCATTCTCACGGTTGTCTGTATCCTGGGAGGCAGAAAGCTAAGCACACAACACTGGGTGTGGGCAAGTTCACAAAACTTCCCTAGGCTTTGGTTTTCCCCACTACAAAACAGCAATTTATAGTGTGTACAGATTTCATACAGTGATGCATCTAATATACTACACCCTCAGCATCGTCTGACGGGCATCCCTCTATTGTTATTCACGTGAGCAAGACAGGCTCCGAAAACAGTGCTCACTAGTATACACACAACTCAGCAGTTTACAAGAGTATGTTTTTAATCATGCGGCCGTGTGTGTGCGTGCGTGCGTGTGTGTGTGTGTGTGTGTGTGTGTGTGTTTTTTAAAATTTTCTGTCTCCCCCCAGGAGTTGAAAGATCTCCGGAAACAAAGTGAGATCATACCTCAGCTCATGTCCGAGTGTGAATATGTCTCTGAGAAATTAGAGGTAAGGGGATGCGAGTTGGTCCCGAGGTAATTGACACGTCCTTAATTTCTCCACTTTCCCTCAGTTTTACATCTAGGTAGTTTCCACTCACAAAGTGCTAGCGGTTATGTGTCACCAGCTCCCCGGGGCTGCCTCTATGGTGGTGGGATTTTTTGGTTTCCCTACTTACACAAAGGGTCTGTGCACAACCAGAGTGTGGGAGACTGTTTCCCCGCCCACAGAAAATTACACAGGACCGCAGCTGATTAGGAAAGGGGCACATGGATGTGCAGGGTCAGGGACAAGTTCACCTTGACCTCTCCAGCTGTGACTTTGGGTACTGACCTTAGACGGGCCTCTTCCCTAGCATCAACTTGCTGGTTTTTCTACGCATGCCTTCTCCCTTTTGTCTTGTCAGGCTGCAGAAAGAGACAATCAAAACTTGGAAGACAAAGTGCGGTCTCTAAAGACAGACATCGAGGAGAGTAAATACCGACAGCGCCACCTGAAGGGGGAGTTGAAGAGCTTCCTGGAGGTGCTGGACGGAAAGATCGATGACCTCCATGACTTCCGGCGAGGACTCTCCAAGTTAGGCACAGACAACTAGGCCAGGCGAAGGGAGCCTAGGTCATGAGTTGCGAGTGTGTGCGTGAGATGAAGTAGGCGTAGGACATTCTCCATTTGTGTTGCTTCTGTAAATGCAGGTGCATTCTGTCTGTCTCCAGACCAGTTGTGCCGTCCTCTCCTCCAGAATAGAAAATCTCGCTTCTCTGGCCTTGTGAGGTTGTGGACTACTGGGAGCATCTGACTCAGGAATCCAGAACTTGGTCTACCTTAGCCGTTTACGCAGTCAGGGCAGGGATGTTTATATCTTTTCTAAGGGCTGTTGCAACCCTGTGAACTGGGGGCGGGGAAGTATTTTCTAATCCAAGCATCAGTATCCTTTACAGCAGGCCACTGGGCGCCTTCTATTGAGTAGCATTCAGGTGTGCGACTCTCCGGCAGATTCCAGGCCATGGGCCACATGGTGGGAGCATCTTTTCCCAATATGCATTGTGATGCTTTAGCAGATGTTATCTGACCGTTTGACGTTGTGATACAACACCATCATCCACACGGTTCACACTCAAGGATGACATACATAATTGACTTACCCAAAAAGAAATAATTGTCAAAAAAAGACTTACAGTGTTCTAAGTAAGTATTTTGTGTTGGAGCACATTTATAGTAATCCTTGGCTGCCTGTGGCCCTCAGGCTGTAGGTCAGACATACCTACTTGAAAAGAACCATGTAGTGGAGACTTATCCAGAGGGGAAAAAAAGCCCAGGTGTTTTGGGGTGTGCATACAGACAGGAAATCACTTGTACCCACTGTGCCCCATCCTCCCCTGATTTGTATGGTTGCAACAATGTTCCTTTTCTTTCTTTCTTCCTTTTTTCTTTTCTTCTTCTTCTTCTTTTTATTGTAGTTGTTGGTTGGTTGGTTGGTTGGTTTTTGTTTTGTTTTGATTTCAGCACATATGCTTTCGCTGTGGGAACAGATGCAGGAGGGAGCCTAGCACAGTGCTGGGTATACAATAGGTGCTTAATAAACATTTGTTAAATTAAACATATGAACAGAATTTAGTGTTTTAATGAAATCTCACAGCAGAGTTCAAAGCCCTATTGAATCTTTTTGTCCTGAAGTGGAGATCAGAAATGAATGCGGCTTACTGCAGTCAAGCCCAGGCTTGGCTGGAAGGCAGGGACTGTGGCAGTGGGAGCATCCTGGGCGACTCTGAGACCCTCCTGCAGGGAGCCCAGCCCTAATCCTCCTAGAGGTCATTGCTTCTGCAACTGCCTTCTCTTCTAGGCAGAGGGCCGGTAGACTGAGGCTTCTAGGATATTGGGAGAGCCTGCTGTGGTAGCTTGGCTGGGCTCCTATGATGGGTTTGAACAATTGAGAAGATACCTTGCCGGCCATGAGAGTAAGAGAGCGGCCCAGGCGGCAGCCCTTGGCCTTAGTGACAGAGCAGCTCTGCTCTGCTTAGCTCTGCCTTTCCTTCCTTAGTTCCTGCTAAGGAAGGACCTGGAGCCATAAAGCTCTCCTCTCACAGAGACTTCTCAGTGCAGCCGCTGGACAATCAGGTCCACAGGCATCCTTCCTGAGGAGAGAGTGCCAGTGGGAGACAGGCTGGTCCAAGTCCAGACTGCCAACACTTCTAAATGCCATGGGCAAGGGGAACTTTGGTATTCCCTGCCTGTCTAAGAAACCTCTAGATATGTGTTCACACAGTTAGAAATCCTTCCTCTTGACTTGGCATGAAAGAGAAGGCAGCCCGAGAAAGGGGCTGTGGCAGGCATGTCTGTGACCAGGCCCTGTGGTCACTTCCAAGTCCCCGTCTTTCCTTGCAGTAGCTGAGCAGTCGCTCTGATCAAGGAACTCGATTGGAATAGGAAAGGCAGGCAGGCTGGCGGTTTGGAATGCTGAGGGATGTTAAGGGGGACCTGCCAAGTTGGGGTGTCTTGTGGTGTAATTCAGCCCGGGGTGCTGCCAGCCCTGCCTTTGACCACAGCCTCCAGTAGTTCTCAAGTCAGAAGCAGCCCCTGCTGGGGCACTAGGAGAACAAAGACTGGGTTGGCTGTGACCCAGCATGGGGTAAGGGGGACTCTAGGCCACCTTAGCCTCCCTGTCTGTCAGCAGCCTGGACACATGGCTGCCCAAGAGTAGTGGACACTGGGCTCCTCAGCCTGGCCTTCCGATGAGCCTCTGTCTACAGAGGCTCTCTTGGCTGGCCGGAGTGTGAGCTTGTGACGTGGTCATTTGAAGATAGCGGCTAAAGCCCCTTCTCCATCCTCATGGCAGTGACTTCCAAAAGAGCTGAAAGCGGAAATGTAGAAAGTTCTGGAAGTCATTATCACAGTGGCTGAGACCTGTTGTTAGCCATTGACGAGTTTGGCAAGCTTCTTGTAGCCAGTAGGTGTGGGGGGGGGAATAGAGTTTTTGTGCCATTAGACTCAAGTATCCTCCAAACTATGGCAACCCAGGAGCCTGAGAGCCTAGGGACCTCTGCAGGGTGGTTTAGGCCCCACAGTGAAGGCACAAAACTAAGCACCAACCTTCCCTTCCATCTGCTTTCTCTCAGGAGCTCAAGTTTCTTCATTTGCCTTCTTTTTAAGAACAGTCATGGCCCATGGATGGTCAATTGGAGGTTAGCCATGTCTACAGGCCCTGGCACTGCAAAAGGTGGGCTCTGTACAGACCAAATGACCCACTGACATTGCTCAGTCTCCGCTCACACTGGTGGGACATGCCTTCGGTTTTTGTGATGTCCAGCCCAGTCTTGGAACTGTTGTCACTGCCTCAAACCCTTTGCAGGTTGGTGTGAGCTGTTTCTTCCCAGTGATTACTGCTGCTGCCGCAGAACCAGGTATCACATGAGCTCTCCTGGCCTTGGCAGCTCCAACACTGACAGTCTGTGCCTTGCTTAGCGTGCTTTCTGCAGCCATTCACACAGGGCCTAGAAGAGGTCTAGTAAAACTCAGAACCCTTTATGCATTTCAAATTTGGGATGGTAGGGAGAGGACTGTTTCTGGTGCCTAAGGAATGTGAAGCCACTAGAGAGACAGATTGGGAGAGCAAAGCAGTCCATGCTAGACCTCCAGTCATCTCTGTCAGGTATGTATCCCCAAGAGCTGTCACTCTAGACCTTAACTGGGTGAGAGAACTTTGGCAGAGGTCATCAGGAGGGAGTGGAGGCAGAGTGACATGCCCAGGGGAACCCGGCGGTGACCAGCAGTGTGGACTCTTGGGTCTCCTGGGCCTTAAAGCACTTCTCCTAAGAACCAGATTGTCGTTGTGCTTTGATGTTCCTTAGATGCCAAGAAGGAGCAAACACTGGTCTGCCCTATTAAAAACACACTGTAGCTACATTGTGTCAGCTGGCAGAACAGCAAGGCAGAATCGCTTCTGTCCACCATACACAGTGAGGTCTGTTTTTGAATGATTCTGGTTTGCTGGGAGCTCCTCTGTAATCTCTGAGAGGCCAATTTGGTAGAACAGAGACTGGCTTGAAGTTCTTCATGAATGACTTTAATGGAGGCACACTCATCTTTTTTCAAGAGGCAGAAGGCCTTTGACTGCAGAGACATAAACAGTGTTCTGGCCCAGAGGTGGCCAGTCCAGATGAGCCTCAACTGGGGAGGTGCTGACTGGTCCAGTGTTGAGAGCAGTTTGCACGCATGAGCTGTCCACAGGGGTAGCTGCCCTTCAGCCTACAGGCGCCACAGCCACAGCCACAGCCTTCAACAGTGTGCTGGGCAGGTGCGTGCACTGCATTTGATGTGAGACATCAGTGGGTGGCACGTGATACTGTTCAAGTGTGGCTGGAAAGCCTCATGATCAGGCCATTTTGCAGGGACTGTTTTTTCTATAGACAAGTCTCCTCTCCTGCAGACACCAGGGGCAGCTTTGAACAAGACCCAACTTGAACCTCACATGCAGGCAGGTGCATGCTTGGAAACAAGGCAGCCTGATATGAACTCAAGACAGGCTGTCCTTCAGGGAGTGCCAGCCACTGCTGTTGGCTAATAACAGAAAGTGAGTCACTGGCAGTTACAGTCCTTTGATTCAGGGGATATCACTGGAGTTTTGAAGCACTTGCAATGCAAACCAGAAGCTTTCAAGTCAATGTCCATACATATTTTGAAGTTAGGTCTGACCTAAATAGACCATGACTTCTGAGTACGTGGCTTCCCCAAAGAAATAGACTATATTCTGGGACCAGTGGGTGTCACGGCATGGAGACAGAGTCCTAGAGAGAAGTGTGAATTACTTAGATGTCTTTTACGTACATCTTTCTAAAGATAATTAAGTTCCTCTTTAAGAGAAAAACTGGAAAGAAGGGGACTTTGGTAGGAATTCTGAGCTCTGTGTGTGTGTGTGTGTCTGTGTGTGTGTGTGTGTGTGTGTGTGTGTTCGTGCTGGGGAAGGCAACATGAGGGAAAGCCAGGGAAACGACTAGGAGAGTTCAACTGCAACTCCATAACAAGGAGGAGTCTTCATTTCTGGTGGTGATGCTAAATGTTCTGGAATCCGCTTACAAGACTTTGTGGGGCTTCAGTGTTGTGTGAACTTGTACAGTGCCCTACCTTGATAGTGTAGCCCTTGCTGCACAGTGGCCTCGGGGCCAGAGACCAGTACGGAAATGCAGACGGACCACAGTGGAGTCCACACTTGTGCACTTTGTCGGGAGACTGGCAGGAGACCGAGGCTTCACAGCTCTTGGGGCTGTGTTGCTGTCTCCACCCCCCCACACCCTACCCTGTACCATTTTTTCACAGGACGGCCTGACTTTCAGTTCGATGTGCAGTGTCTCATGACGTGACAGCAGGAAGACATCTCTTACATCTTCGTAAGACTGGATAGGCAAAGTATTTCATCAGTACCATTTTTATTTCTTACATGCCTTTTTCGGAATATAAGTAATACTTTTTTAAAAAAGAAACTAAAGATAAAAGGAACAAAAAGAAAGCCAGCTGTTGTTCCGCCATCTAGTCGTAACCACTGTTAACACATAGGCTCTTCAGTCTCCCTGCACAGAAGCTCTTGTTTCCTTCCCATGGATTACCATCTCCTGCATACTCCTCTAATAACTCACTCTTCCCCTTCCACACTGTTTCGTGACTGTACTTGGTAAATATGCAGCTACTACTTTTTTTTTTTTTTTTTTGGTTTTTTCGAGACAGGGTTTCTCTGTATTGTTTTGGAGGCTGTCCTGGAACTCACTCTGTAGACCAGGCTGGCCTCGAACTCACAGAGATCCGCCTGCCTCTGCCTCCCGAGTGCTGGGATTAAAGGCGTGTGCCACCAACGCCCAGCTGCAGCTACTACTTTTTAACAGCTGTGTATGTCATACCTTGGATATTTAAGTTGTTCCTGATTTTCTACTCTTGTAGTCAGGACATGATAAAATCGTTCTGACATCTTTGTAAACTGTTCAGAACATTGGCTTAGAATAAATTGCTAACATTAGTCTTCCGTGATCTCCAAACCCTGGCTCCTTTCCTTCCTAGACATGAGAGACTGCACTCACCACCCCACTGTGAGTAATTCCGATCAGTGAGATGTGAGCGGAAGGGACCCAGAAACTCTAACCAGGACTGTAGTGTCTCCAGTGTCTGCATGACTCCAGTGTCTCTGATCCTTTGCCGTAGCGAGTGGTGACATCCCCGGGGTAGAACTAACTTCTCCCAGCCTGGGTCCTTGAGTGACTGAATGGGCCAGCTTCTTCCTCTCCCCTCTACCCACCACCTACATGGACATGTGGCATGAGCGGAGATCAACCTTTCGGGTTTTACCACTGGGATTTCAGGGTTGGTGTTCTTACTGCAGCATAACAGCCTTTTTTTTTAAACTAATATGAAAAAAGACATGCACATTTTTAGGGTGTTAAACATATCACCTTAAATTGTCTTTCAGAAATATGCCTCCCATATGCCCCCACTTGTAATGTGATCTTTCTCGGCCCTGTTAGCTCAGTCGGTAGAGCATGAGACTCTTAACCTCAGGGTTGTGGGTTTGGGCCCCATGTTGGGTGCCATTTTGTAATGTGAGGCTTTTCTCAGCCTAGCT